CTTAGAAAATCATGATGAATTCTGTGTGAAATTTCTTTATGGTTTTTTTTCAATCCTCACACACTTGATTCAATCGTTTTTATGAGTGCAAACAACAGTGAAAAGAGTGTAAAAAGCCACTTCTAATCCCATTTTGATGCCTTTATCTTGTTTGGCAGTGAATTTTTGATGGCGTGACAAATTAATTTAGCTTCTTTCAACCTCTCACAGCATAATATTGACAGGAATTCGCGCGTGCTTCCTTACATAATCTTATCGTGCAGCGCTTTTCGCTCGCTGGAGGTGATAAACCACATTGATCGATGACAGTGAGAATGGCACAAATGGGACTAAATCTCTGCACCACTGGATTTTTCACTCAACTCGTGCACTTTTTGCTCTCCTTTTGCCGTTTTTTTTTTCCTTGCCACTGGCAAAAAGGCGAAATTACGTGTTGGATTTCTTCATGTTTTGTGTGTGAGATTCGTTTTGTGGAGAAAGAGAGAGAGAATGAAAGAGGTGTCAATGTGACGCTCAGTGGAGTCTCTGGGGCGCCACTTAATTACCTTTGAGATGGTTTTTTTCCATGGTGAATTCTTGCGCAAAAGCCCAAAAATTGAACCACAGAAAGTGATTAAAACTAAAACTCATCTCGCATTATTGTTAATACACTTTTCGCCATATTATGGCTATTGATTTTTGCATTGAGAACAGCGAGAATGGGCAAGAAAAATTGCAAGTAAGCAATTATTCCAGCATTTTGTGGGGTATTTGATGTTGAGTAACAATTCACAGCATGGCGAAGAGCGAACACTGGCGATGATGCGGCAAACATGATTGGGATGAGGTGGAATTTCAATCACTTATTGATTTATTTTTAATGCAATTACCCCAGAGATTATTGGGAATTAAGCTCATCGCCTCGCTGACACATCTTCAAGTTTCTCTGGGTGGCTTTTTTGGTGGGTGTTTAAGTGCCTTCAGAATGAACGTTTTCTTGCACAATTAAGGCGATCAGCGCATAAAAATAATGGAGATTAAATTGTCTGTAATGTCTTTCATCATTGAATGACTCTCTTCCACTTGTTTAACGTTGTTGGAATCGCGCACAAAAAATTCACCTACATTTGCGGGCTGAAAAGATGCTGTGGAAAACCGGCAAAAAGCCCGCGAAAGCATGCGTCCAAGAACACATGGAAAATATCCAACAATGGGATTTATGCATCATTACGTGCGCGAGGAGATTTCGGATGGACTTTTCGTCGCAACGATGAAAAAAGGGCATCGCGAAGTGTCGCAACATCATCAGCAAGTCTGCAAATTTAGCGTATTTGGGAGTCAATTTAGTATGATATTCAACTGGGACTTTTCTCGATCATGTTGCGACAATGGAAAGTCTTCTGCGGTAGCCTTGAAAAGTACGCACCCACTGTAATTGTCTTGCGCATTGTGGATTTGATGAATTTCCATGGACTCAGAGACGTTGAATTCACAATGGATTTGAAAGTGAAAGAAGCGCGCGCGATCTTCATAAAATTGACATTTGCAGTTCAAAAATTCAATTTCGTGGCTCCCTTTCAGATTGTTCAGCACAACTTTTGGGTGGATCACGTGAAAGTGGATGAATTTCATTTGTCATGGTGAAGAGTTTGGAATTTTTTCTGTTTATTTTTACTGGCATGAGATCAGTGAACTTTATCTGGAAATGAATTTATGGATCTGATCAAGGGGCAGATATTACAGTCGGAAGTATTGAAATATTTACAATATTTTCAATGCAAAAGCTTCTGTTGCAACAAATTGAGGCATTTTCTAAATTATTTTGCACAGAAAAATCAATTTTACTGCTTTTTCTACGTTATGTGATTGATTCAAGACAGAATTTGATGATGAAATGATTGCTTAGGCGCAAAATACATAAATAAAATAAGCATTCTTGCGCATTTCTATCGATGCACGATGAGAATCTTCATCTGGATGAAGGTGAATTTGACAAAGAACGGCCCGTATAAGGTTATTCTCTCAAGAACATGCCAGTAATTATGTCTCAAAGCAATATCACAACTCCTTTCGCTCACAATAAATGATTTATCGCGCAGTGACAATGAGCAAGTCGTAAGCAAACTTCATTATTCAGCTGCTGAGCTTCTCTCTCTCAGTGGCAAAAGATTGGAGAAGTGGCAGACAAAGAATACTGGTGAGTATATGGAGAATCCCTCAGAGATGAAATGATTTACTGTTTCACTTTCATTCCATCTCGCAGAACTGCCGCACACGCGACGTCACCGTGAGAGATGTATAAATACTCGCGGGAGAACATCTTGGCGTCACCTTGGTATTTATGCTGCCGCGAAGACCGCGAAGGCGCACACAATTTATTCAATTCTCCTGGGCAAAGGCGCAGAAAAAAGCATGGAATTCCATCTGGAAATATTGATGAGGAATTGCACTCATCGTTCCGATCTGGTGGAATGCTTCGCCGAGATGCAATTGAACACACAATTGTACATTGTATGGCACACACGCCCTCGTCTTGATGGCCCAAGACAGCCGGAGAAGCTCCTTCGCTGGTCACACTATCAATCATCAATGAGCGCGCGCTAATGACGCAGGATTTCTTTGTGCAGACAATGGACATCCGCTGGGGAGAAATGGCGCAAATCACGTGATATGAAATATACCAGCAAATCCTCATGTGATGATTACGTGATGAGGTGTGCTCGAATTTATTCACTAGTGCCGCACATTCTTCACATTGCATCTCGGCGCAAATATCATTGAATTACATTTTATTACACCATCCCAGTTCTTGCGCCAAAGCATCGTCAAAGCTCAAAAGTGTCTTCAATCTGCCCAAGGGGAAGATATTTGCCTTGAATTTTCAGTTTATAGTGAATTTCTTAAGTTTCCAATCGATATTTCTGCAAGAATCTACTAAAAATCACCTTTTTGGGTAATCTTTTCCGACCATAACCTCAAAATTATAACTAAAACTCCAGTTTAGAAGTTTTCTTGATTACGAAATCAACTCTTTTGAATTGCAAACGAACTCTAAATCGCTGATTTAGCGTCAGAATTGTACAGAAGGTTTTCTAAAGAAACATTTTCCAAGTTTAAATCAATATTTTTGAGGTTATGTTTGTCCTCAACACAATTTGCAGTGTTTTTTGGCATCAAAACTTTAGAATATCAATATTTATTGCATGAAAATGCTTAATTCGGCCAAAGATTGGCAATCTTGGCGACTTTAGCATACGAATTGATCCTTAATTCGCTACATAACCTAGAAAAGGAAGAAGAATCTTAAGAATCAGGATAATTTGCTAGGGAATACATGGAAGTTTTGAACACTTTCAGTACTTTTAACTGCATTATCTCCCCCTTGGCTCTGCCTATGCAGATTGTGCGGATGACTAAATGTCTTCCATTGCAAATTAATCGACAGTTAGAGTGTGAATCTGTAACGCGCATTCTCATGTGTTTTATTGCCCCGGAGATCGATTTTATGAGACACTCTATTGAGTAATTGATTAGCACGATTGGTTTTGAGGCACAGCTTTTAAATGTCCCGAAGATCAATAAATTTTGCAACTCACAAGGGAGTTTCTGTGGTCTCTTAAAATTAAGAGAAATCACAGGAAAGAAGAAGAAGAAAAAAAGAGGAATTCTGCCGGCGAGAGGACAACACAAGACGCTTTGAGCATTGAACTTTCGAGCGCATAACATTGAAAGTTGGCTGGCGAAGACACCAAAATCGTGATGCACACCTCTTTCTCATGTCAACAGGTGATACACAAACTAATGGCTCAAATTGCCGTGCGACGAAAAACTGCTCTCATGGGCGAGAGCTTGACTTGATGGTGTAAAAAGCGGCTCTGGAAATATGAATGAGCGCTTGCGCAACGCGTCTTGAGAACAATTTGTTCTCGATGCGCGATCAGGAGGTGTGCAGATGGGCCCAATTGTGCGCCATAGTCTCTGGAAAATGCTGTACTTTAACGCCTACAATTCGGTGTGTGTGTGTGCAGAGAATAATAATTTGTGAGATATTACACATTTTTTTCGCTCTCGCGGAGCTTTTTGCATGAGACATCGCGCATTTAACACATGTTGAATTTGTGCAGAAGAACGGCAAAACGTGAGGTAGCGCCCATTTCTTCAAGAACATCGTGTTGCACGGGAAAATATACATATAACATATATATAAGAGTGAATAATGTTGTGACTCTCTTGGGAGTTTTGAGTGTGCGCATCGGAGATCGCCGATGGGTAGTTGGAAATGTCGAAAACTCTGTGACTCCTGAATTGATGCACACTCTTTGACTCCATTTGTGACTTCAAAATCTTTAATATTCATAACACCACCAGACAGCATGAAATCGCGATGATCTTCCAGAAATTCCTCTCTCACACGATCGTATCACAGATGATGGGAAGAAAGGGAGAGAAGTGTCGATGTGAAGACTCGTAACGGGAAGTGTATCTTTTGTAATCGCGCGCGCGCGCAAAAGAAGTTTGAAACAATTACCGCAGATTCTGGCGGAGGAACGCCGAGGAAAAACGTGACAATGCTCACCGTGAGGGAAAATGTCATATACAATAGAATAAATAATAACACACATTTCATCCCGATGAATTAATGGTGATCGCGAAAAGGCACTTTTATGTCACACTGGAATTGTGAGCCTCAAAGATCAACTTTTCTCTCTTTGAGACTCAAACTTTGATAGTGATCTGGATATTTGTGCCATTCCAGGGTTTATAATAGATGAAGTAATCAGGCATAATGAGATCATTCCTTGCATTGCATCACCAAAGGCTTGACAAAAGGCATTTTAAGGTCTCAATTGTCCCTCTCAATCACGCCAAGCAATTCAGAGCGATTGAAGATTGATGGAAGTTCAAACATGGTCAAATTGTTGACTGTTGGCATTGCATTTGAAATGTCCGCGATTTTGGGAATTATTCCGCGCGTGTAAATCTCAGTGATCGGACAAAAGCTTCCGTGTGACTGTGTAGAAATGTCAGGAAAGGATCGGCTTCCCATTTTCCCATCGCGAGGGGCGCTGATGGTGGTGAAGAATCGCCTGGCGAGTGCCCAACGAGGTCATGATCTGCTGAAGCAGAAGTCAGAAGTTCTGGAAATGCGCTTCCGCCAAATCCTCAGCAACATCTTCGCGATGAAGTCACTCATGGGGGAAGTGATGAAGGAAGCCGCTTTCTCGATGACCGAAGCCAAATTCGCCACGGGAGATTTCGGCCAAATTGTCCTGGAAAATGCCACTCAGGCGCAGATGAAGATCCTCACGCGGCGGGAAGATGTCGCTGGTGTGTCTTTGCCGGTGTTTGAAGTGATTCAAGATGGTGCGGACGTGTATGAATTGATTGGATTGTCGCGTGGCGGCGAGAAGATCAGCAAGTTGAAGCAGAATTACCAGAATGCAGTGAAATTGCTGGTGGATTTGGCCACACAGCAGACGGCTTTTCTCAAACTCGACGACATCGTCAAGACCACGAACAGACGCGTGAATGCAATTGAATACTTTGTCATTCCGCGCATTGAACGCACGCTGACTTACATCATTTCTGAGCTGGACGAGATGGAGCGCGAAGATTTCTACAGACTGAAGAAGATCCGAGACAAGAAGATGGCGAAGGCACAAATTGACCTGCTTGTCGGGGAAAATCTTGGCGATTCTTCTGAGGAAATGTAAAATCTTTTGGATATTCCAGTATAAATTTAAAAAAAAATCCGCACTGCAAGTTCGCCTGCCTCAATATTTTTGGACCTTTCTTTCTGCCAAACGCGATTGTCACATTTGATGTGTTTATCGTTGATCGGCCGAAGTGAAATTTGGACAATTTGATAAGATCAACTGATTCGCCAGATTGTCACGCTGACCGCCTTGCATAACTCGGCGTCTGTTTGCGCGCCGAAGGAATTGACGTGGCGGGAAAAAGGAGTGGAAAAAGTGTTTGAAAAATTCACAGAGAAATTGTGTGATTTCGCAAAGTGAAGACAGACACAAGCCCAATTATTGCTTTGCTATTCCAATTAAAAAGTCATTAGAAGAAGTCCACTTTGTGAGCATTGAATGGAGATGTTTTCATACAGCGCACGATGGCCTATTGAGGAATGATAAATGACGCGTCCCGGCGAGGACAAGCGCACACTTTCTCACCACCTTTTGCCGAAATTTCCAGTCAATTATGTGTCCAATTGTGGCAGATGGGAAAATATTTTGGGGACCTTGATTGAGCCAAATGCGACTCGATGTCTGCTCAAGGATGGTCAGAGATGAGAAATGGCGTTTGGCTCCGCTCTAAATTCCACTCAGATCACCTGACATTTTCCGCGCCTGACTTGATGGCCAAATCTTCCTACACAGAAGTGCCGCAGCATTTCCTCCTCAATTGTCCTGACAAGCGGACTCATTAGGCGATGTAATTGCAGGCGTAAATCGCGCGCGATCTGTTCTGATTGATGATGCGCGCTTCATGTTAAGTCATCGATGCGTGCTTTGGCCAATTTCTCATTGAACCTCTTTTTTTGTCTTGGCATCCATTCTTCGCCTTCAAATGCAAACACTCTCAATAGATTCGTCTGCAGATGGCTCGCGATGTGACCTCAATTCATTTGTTTAAATTAGTCGACAAAGATGTTTGGCAACGTGTGCGCAATTTCTGCGGCCAGAGCGTCTTATCGCATCCCCAGCACGATGGCAAATTGCTCTGCAGTGGGTCCTGCGAGGCTGCAAGGGGGAGATATTGTGGTCAGATGTAGTGTACAGCTCAGTGGAAGTACAGTAACGCAAATAACCTTACGACACCTGTGAAATTTTTGGGTCAATTTTTTTTGGTGTTGAAAATTCGATATTTCTTTCAATTTTCGAAACATTTACCTTAAGAGAAGAAATGATTAGAATTTAATGATCTTTCAAAAGGCGTTAAAATCATGGCGATATCTTAATTTGACGCCGAAATATCGCAAAATGACAGCGAAAATTCAATTTGAAGAAATGGAAAGCCTTGAACGGTTCGAAATGAAAACTTGCTTTAAATTTTCTTAAGTGTCCTAAGTAAATTTTCGCTACTGTACTGATTTTTAACACTATTTTCTTCCATATAAATCTCATTTTCTTGTCTAGGTTATGTAACTATAACTTTAAGAGCAATTTTAAGTGATTAAATATCATCTGAAAACATCAATTTATGCACTTTATTCATGAAATTTGATGAATATTACAAATTTTCAATGTTAAACTTATGTCAATTATGCTTGGATTGATCATAACCTCTGAAATACTGTTTTAGGATACAAAATTGACTGTTTTATTGATTTTCTACTCTCAAATAGTAAATGTTTCACGGATTTTTTAGGTTATGTTTCAAAGTGCATTCAAGAAAGTGATTAAAAAATTGAATCCAGTTTAAAATATCTTCCGGAAACTTCAAAAGCTTCTAATATACTGTTTATCTGTAAGTTTTTCAGGAGTCACACGAGTAAAAATGGCGTCTTTCTAGCCTAAAGACGCCTAAATTTGAGGTTAAAGCACTGCCAATGGCCTTAAAGTGTCTGTGATTCTCCCATGGAGATTGTGGAAGTGACAGGAAGTGATGTACACAGTTTAGCCGTATTATCTTCCCTTTGCGAAGCATTGTGACCTCAAGATCATGAGCCTCTTTCACTCCACTTTCAGCCGCCACAAAGTGCGAGTCTCGATCGTCTTCTATTGTACAGTCCAACTTGGCGTCATATAACGTGCGATTGTTAAGGGAAATCCACAAAATCCCAGTCCATTTCGCAATATTCGCAATGCAGCATCGCCATGAGACCTCTAAGTCTGCGTTGGCATGTGAAATGAGTTCATCTGTGGCGATGCTCAAGATGCTTATCGTGCGTCCAGGAGAAAATCATTATGAGTAAAGAGATATTTACACACACGATAATTATGATTTTGATCCGGCCAGATTGTTTCGGATTCGTTATTGTTTTGCACGTCTTTTTGCGGTTCAGCGACTTTCTGCTTGACCTAAAGAAAGAGTGAAGAATCCCATTAAGCACATCATTGCGGACAAACAATGGCTGCTGGTCAGCTGACGATGGGATTCTGGGCATAATTTTGCATGCTTTGGCGGTGATTTTGGAGCACTGGAAGTATTAATAAATCATCGACAGATTTTCCATATTGATTAAATAATTGAGCATTTACTGTGCGAAGACTTTGGAGGCAATAATTCGCCTGTTCGTGATTTATAATTTTGCTGTCGCAATGCTGAAATGCATAGAAATGCAGTGAAGATGTGCATTCTCTCCTTTACCTTTAAGACAATGTATTAGATTGGAAAATTAACCCACGTTTGTTTATATACCTCAATTTCATAGCTTGCGCTCGCGGCTCGACAACATTGTGAAGGTGGTAAAATTTATACCATATCAAATGCCTCACATTTCTGTGGTGATATTACACATTGATCACCATCATTTGCCATTGTAATGAATGTGAATTATGATGAAATTCATCTTCACCATGTGCGCAATGAGATGGTAAATTCAGTTCCTCGAAAGTGAGTGTAAACTTTATTCGGTAGCCAAACTAATTTGCAAGAATATAACAAAAAACCCACATTATGCCTCAAAATGCAATTACTGCACTGCGCGTCTTATGGGAAAGCCAAAGTCACACTGTGCAAAGTGTGAAGTTGTATGATTTGTCTGTCATTTTCTCATATATTAATTAAGCTAATCGCCACATTATTCTCATTAATATGTCACCATCGGAGCATTCAATGCAAATTCATGATGCTTTGGCGCCTCTCAGCAAAAGTGCAATGCCACAAATTGCGACATTTTCTATATATGATTTTGTCATTCTCAGATTCTCAGGCAAATTTTGCTGCTCTGCATGCATAAATGCCGGCAAGTTTGAGCCCGAGAGGAAGATAGTTTAAGATACAATGTGTACAATTTTTCTCTGAGAAAATAAAACACAAGAAAGCGCAGAGGAAAATCATTTCCTAACACTCATAGTAATTACCAAGGGGGAGATAATACAGCCAGAAATGATGTAAAGCTTAGTAGAAGTGCTTAAGAAGTGAAAGTGTTCGAAGGCATGAAATATTCCTTCCCTGAGTGTTTCTTTTACTAACAAAATTATCTCAATTCTTCAGTTTTCGCTTGATTTTTTTTGCGTAGAAATAATCAAATTGATTCTTTTCTAGGTTATGTAGCGAATCAAGAACAGATTTAGTGAATAATTCGTATTTTAATACATAAATTCTTATGCTTAAGTCACCAAGATATCTAATAATTGGCAGAATTGAACATTTACAGGCAATAAACACAGTTGAAATCAAACATAACCTCAAAAATATTCATTTGGACGTGGAAAATTATTATTTAGGAAACTTTCTTAACGATTTTGTCTCTGAATCAGCAATTTTGAAATTTGTTTGTGATTCATAAGAGTTGATTTTGTGGCCTGGAAACCTTTTAAAAGAAGGTTTTGAAGATCTTTCAGTGATATTTTGAGGTTATGGTCGGAAAAGATGTCCAAAAATAGCGTTTTAAGTCGATTCTAACAGAAAGATTGACTGGAAACTTAAGAGATCCATTCCAATTTGGGAATAATTGGTCAATTTGAAAGAATTCAGAAGTGGTGTAGAGATTTAAGGCATATTATCTCCCCCTTGGTAATTGCATATTTATGAATTTGCAGTCAAAGTGCACTTTAGCCAAGATTAATAGTCTCTGGGGCACTTCTTCGGCGCGTCTTGAGCAAATAAACAAGGAGTTTTGCGTGAAGTTTGACGAATGATCTTCACCTTCTTGTTTGCAATTGAAAGTGACCGCTGGCGTTGTACGAAAATTGCACCCACTTCGCCATGTTGAGAAGGTGAATCTCGAGAGATGTAATTGCGGCCGATTGAAAATTACAGGGCACACAATTTGCCACCATTGAGAAGCGCGCGTGCTTCCTCATTTCGAACCTGTTGAGGAAAAGAATCCGCGAATGCGGTGCGATTTGAATCTACCAAATGAGAGTGACATTGAATTTGGGTGATTGTTGAGCACTTCGGAGAAGACTAAAAGTTTTCTCACCATCATCATCATCGTCAGTCGGCAAAAACAGTGCGATTGACTGTGTCTCATTTTTGGGATATTCTATAAGCGTGATTGAGTGTAATCAATTTGACACGCTTGAAAGCATGAAAAAGCTCCACATTTGCTCTCAATGTGTGCTTCGGCGCTAAACGATTGGCGTGTGATGAAGACGATGAAGAAGTGCTTTGATTTCTGCCAAGGTTGATGGGTTTGTGAGGAATGTGAAGCTGCTGGAATTAGGACAATTTCTTTAGGTAATATTTCTACAAATTACACGTTTTTGCTGCCTCTCATCGATATGAATTTAATTGTACGCGCGATGATCACGAAATTGATGTTGATTGATTGTTATGTAAGAACATATATATTGATTTCGATACTCAATAACATACTCTCACATCTTTCTCTATTTTTCAGTAGTTGCGCTTCTTAAGTTTGCATCCCGAAAGAATACGTAATAATATTGAGGAGATTGATAAATAATTGCAATGACATTGAATACGAAGTTTCTTTGGAGAGTTTTGAATTGTCCAAGAAATTCCATACAATTGATTAATTGATTCTTCCTGACGTAATCAAAATTACATTATGTTGGACTTCCTATAATTCCAGAGGTTACACTTTCCCAGACACTCTTTGATCTTTCT